GCTGGCTGGAATGTTCTTTCTTAGAGCCCTAAGCTCCCATATGAGGAGCCTGGCTGCCCTGAGGCCACTATGTGGAGAGGCCACAGGAAGGAGCTCTAGTTGACAGTCCCAGCAGAGTCCAGCTTTCAAGCCATACCAGCAAGGTATCAGATATGTGAATAAGTTGGCCCATTGGCCAGGTAAATATTTTTGAGTGGCTTGCATCAATGCCTCAGTAAACAGAAAATCAGCCAGCTGAGCCCCCAGATTCCTGACCCACAAAATCATGAGATATAATAAGATGGTTATTTTATGCCACCAAATTTAGGGGTAATTTGTTAGGCAACAGTAGCTAACTAGAACATATTCCTAACCAGAAAAGTTTCTAATCTAGTCCCAGAAGTATCTTAGTAAGTAGAGTTCAACACTTCGTAATGCTTCAGTGTCAAATAGCCATCAGCATCTTTTATTGAGTGACTCTTGTAAACCCCAGTGATATGTGGGATATGAAGTATAAGGTTTAGTCTCTCACCTAAAGGACAGGATAAAATAATAATTACCAGTTACCATTTACTGAATGATTGCTACGAATCCAGCTAATGATTCTCAGAGTTGGGGCTGAAACAGCAGCAGCTGCACCTTAGAATTTGTTACAAATGCAAATCCTCAAGTCTGATCCCCAAAATTCTTTCAGTGGGCCCAGCAGTATGTTTTAGTGAGCCATCCAGATGATTCTGACGCATGCTATGCTCTGAGAATCACTGTAGTAAGCACTTTACCTCACTAAACCCTCACGGTAATCCAGGATTTCTCAACCCTGCCAGGACTGACATTCTGGGCAAGAGAACCCTTGCTGTGGGCAACTGTCCTGTGTGGTGGGAGGTGTTTAGCAGCATCCCTGGACTCTTCCCACTAGAGGCCACTAGCTCCTCTTTCCCCACTGGTGATAATAACAAATTCATCAGTCATTGCCAACTGTCCCTTGGGAGCAGGAGTCACAAAATCACCTCTAGTTGAGAACCACTACCATGACCCTCTGAGACAGAGTTTGAAACTGTCCCCAGGGTCAGCTTTAAACAGCTAAGATGTGCAGACATGGTAATGACTGTAATAAAGGAAGTTTTTACTCATAGACCCCCAGACACAGGAGGTGGCACAGCATGCCACGGGGAGGCCACACAGGGAAGCACCAGGACAGCCAGGAGGCAAAAGGAGCAGGGAGAAATCATGGGCAAGAGCCTTTATTCTGGCTTCTGTGGGAAGGAACAGGAAAGGCAGGGTAAGCAGGTTTAGGGGAAGCTGGTCTGAATAATTTTAGTGGGGCTCTGGTGTTTGGGGCATGGATCTATGGTCAGAATAGGAGAGTCTGATAAAGGAGGTGGCTGGGGGAATGGCCTTTGGATTGGTTGATCTGCACAGGAAAGGTATGCTTGCAGGTCAGTCTCTTGTCAATCCTAGGAACTGGCTAGCCCTGGGAGAGCAGGTTTCTCCAGTGTCAGGAAGGCCTCCGAAGTCAAAGCATCATAGTAAAAAGACACATTTGATACAGGTAGATACAATTACCCTATTTTACAGAAGGCAAAGCTCAAGTCCAGAGGAGTAACCTGCCAGAAGTCATTTCTCCACCATGGGGGGACCCACACTAAAGCCTAGGTCTCCTGGGTCTCTCGAACCATGCTCTGACCCACGTACCATACTGCTGTTCACCTAGCTGATCAAGTGCACCTGTGGGCATCTGTAACTGTATAAAAAGATAACTGACAGAACAAAGGGAGGATGCTGAATAATTTCTACATAAAATAATTACACGAAGCAACGAGAGGGAGAAGAGAGCACGTGTAATGTCCAAAAAAGGTTATGTGGGAAAATTTTACTCAAACTGCTGGCACCCTCCCTGGAGATAACAGGGGCTTCATGCTTTTGGGTGGGTCTTGAAAGTTGCATAAAACGAAGCCAGGCAAAATTGAGAATGAATATTCTGAAAAGGTAGGAAATGATGTGATTACAAGGCTCAAAGGCAATAATGTGCAAGGTCTGATAAAAACAAGGGTTAAAAGGCTGCCTTGGTTACTTGAAAGTAGGTTAGAAGGAAAGAGAAAGAAGAGAGATCCAGTTGGGTGACACTCACTTTAATCAGCTGAATCCATCTGACGCAGTGCCTGAATGTACAAAACTTTCCGCATGATGGACTCCCCATCTCAATGTAATGCCATAATTTAAATGCCTGGGGTGGATGAAATTTAGAGTAAGAATCAAGCTGGAAATTTCCACTTTGAATTTCTGGAAGGATATCAATTAGGCTGGAAATCTGTGACCAACAGGGATCACAGAAAGAAAGTTCTTTCCACTGGACTGGACAGGGTGCCAAAGGTTTAGGCAATGAAGTTGACAGCCATTTATTGATTTAGAGTTTTCTGAGTGCTCATGTTGTGCGAGGCATGGCTAGGTGAAAGGAACTTACAAATCATTGCTAAATTAATAAAACAGGATCTCTGGCATTGAGGGACTAGTGAAGTAGTGAGCTCATAGTCTCTGCAGCAGCAGGCAGAGCAGTGGGTGCTTCTGTGCAGCCCAGCCTTGGAGAGGTGCAACACGTGGGTACCTGGGCACCTGGTGGAATTCCATGAAGCACTTGCAAAGATCCTCAAAGCACAAGACTAGCCCCCCTGCAAGTCTCCCATTCTTTCTGGGGCAGGTGCACTTTCAGTCTTCACTCTCACCCCCTTCAGTCATCACTCTCATGCTTTCAAAGGGTCTGAATCACCAGGGGAATTTAACAAAGCACCTTGTCATTGGGCCCTACCCCCAGAGATGCTGAGTCCCTGCATGATAAAAGAAGCACTCCCTGAAATCTTTGATAACTATGTCAATACCTTTGTTATCAGTTAACATTTCAGTAGCCGGAATTAGCAAGAATTTAACTAGAAAGTAAGCTCCAGAGGGGTAGAGATATTTGTCTATTTTGTTCACAGCTATATCCACACTGCTTGTTCCGTATAAGGTACTTAAGTTGTTGTTGAATGAAGGAATTGGGCACATATGCAATGCAGAGGCAGGGGAAGGGAAGAAGTAAAGAGGGAACAACAAGAAGAAAGGGATACTTCTAATAAGGGAGGTGGAAGGGTATTAATTGTAAACTTGGCTTTTACCAAAGTTCTGCTATATTTGGGGAGCAGCCTCAGGTCTTCACTCTGTTGGACAGAATTACAAGTTATAATGGCCCTTCTTAAATCATTTAAGAAATGTTAATGCTTATGAAAAAATTCCATTCAGTACCTTTCAAGATTTCTGTCTCTTATTTCTAACCCTCAGCCTGTGCCATGTTTAGTTAGAGAGCACAAATGCCAAATATTTCTGAGCAACAAGAATTTTCTGACAAGGCTCCAGGTGCTCATTTTTATATATGTTCACAAGTTTAACATGAACTCAAGCCCTGGAAACATCCCAGGGATGCTGGGCCATCTGCACACCTCCTTTCTGAGGAGATGGCACATGGGCTTGAAGATGCAGTGTGGAAGGGAATGGATCTTGGGAAAGATAGAGGAGAAAGGTTAGGACATCTCACCAAGTTAGGCAAATACTTAGTCAAACATCTGCATAGAAGAATAGTATTGTCAGGTTTATTTATTTATTTATTTATTTTTAATCATGGGGTTTCTTTTTACACTTACATGAGTAACATTGTGGTTACTAGATTCCCCCCATTATTTGTCAGGTTTTTATAAAATTATTTTCAGTGGAAAATGCTGTTTCACTCAATATCTATCAGGCATTATTAGGTTTTCAATGTTGCCCCACCCCACCAACTCCCTATGTTCCTTAAAAAATTCTCAGTTCTGGTTTTGAATCTAATTCACTCATCTATTTAGAATTTTCTTGGTAAAGATGTATTTTTTTCTTACAGACTTTTTCTTTTTTTTTCTCACCCATCATTTCTGTATTTGGCCTAGCTGTCATTTTGCTTTGGGTCAGCAACATGCGGGCCTTCAGAAGTGGGCAGGAAGGTAGCTGGCCTCTTTAACAGAGCCAAGCAGGTTACAAAATGTCTGTCCAGTGAATATGTCTGCCTCCAGCTTCCCACTCTGATGGGGCTCACTGCCAAGCTCTGATTTGCTCTAGTTAAGAAAAAAAGAAAAAAAAAAGTCCCCTAATTTCACTGTCAAGATTTTGAGAAGCATTCTCATGGTTTTAAAGAGATTATTGCATAATTTGTTCATGTTTAAAGAATTATATTGTTAAATAAATTTAGCTCTCCAGATTCTAAATGACAAAAACAAGTGAAGTTACATCATTTGAATTATGAAGTGATAATGTCTTCCAATTCTGCCCCAATCAAAAGTGTAACAGTTTAAAGCTTATAATAATCATGTTCAAACATATTCAGATTATAATTACTTTTCTTCTGATAATGATAGCCCGTCTGATTGGATGATTACCTATTTGACTTTGATAAGTCTCAGAGGTCAAAAAAGGGATAATTGCAGACATCTGTTTTCTATGGAAAATATAATCTCAGAAAATAGTGTTTAAAGTGACATCTGCAAATGTGTTTTAGAAAGAAACTCGTTGCACATTTAAAATCACAGGGAAAAGAAGCAATTCCTAAGCTACTATGTATCACAGTGTCTATGTAAATAGATGAACAAGTTTAACTTACTAGTATTCATGTATGCACAAGTAATTACAAGCAGGCATGATTATATTTTGTACAGGTAGAATTAGAAATGGAAATAAACTATGAGAAAGGAATTTGAAAGAGTCCTATGATATGGAATGATATGGAGGATTTTTTCCTTTACTCTTGTTTATTTCAGTCTAGACATATACAGGTGTAACCATTTTCCTGGTTGTTTTTATTTTGAAATGGGAGTTAGAAGATCTTATCCTGTTGGTTTACCCTTGTAGGTGACCTGCCTGCTTATGGGATGGTTCTTAATGGAGGAAAAGGTTCATTCATGGCTGCCATGGTTCTCTCTGTGGAGGAGGTCCCAGTTTCTCTCTCTGCAGGTGCATCAACTTACCAATCCTCTTAGGGAGATGCCAGGAGCCTCTGTCTCCCTCCACCAGCAGCTGCATCCTGCAGTAAAAAGGGAGAACTTTAATATTTCCTTCTACATATGGTAAAAGTCTCTTGGTTTTAATTCACTAACTCAGAGTCTTTTCTAATTCATGCAAAGCCTGGGTAATCACTTTTGCCAAGTTAAGTTTCTTAAAATACTTTCACCATAGCTCTTCTCTTCTCAAAGACTGCAGTGGCTCCCTGGTGTCTGCGGAAGGCATTCCAAATACCTTGGCAATTCACAATCCTTCATCATTTAACCTTAACCTAGTTTTCTCAACCTTATCTTCTACACAAAACTCTCCTTTTGTTAAATCTGTTTAGCACTGAGGGGTGTTAAACTTTCCTGCCTCTAGTCTAAATTTTTGGTGATGCCAGTATACTTTATATCATCTATGCCTATTAGTCTATTGTCATTGGTTGGTTAGTTTCTGCCTTTCAGGTGTACAGAACTGGATAAACCATAAACTCTGGTTCATAATATACTAGTATGATAGGTATGTGCAACAGTCTCTTTTGTTTATTTATACCAAAAATTTACCTAAGTCTACCTTAAATCTTATCTTTTCAATAAGATCTTCCTCTATACACACAGGGATGATTGGTCCTCTAAGAGAGCTCTTTCTCTCCTCTGAACAATTACAGTATATATTCACTGGAGTAGTCCAGACCGCCACTTGCATGAAGTGTATGTACCGCATGCAGCCTGGTACCACAGTTGTGTCTGCACACATCCAAGGCACAGGTGGCCCTATCTATCCTGCAATGTGCTGCTTCCCCAGTACTTGACTGTAGTGCTACAATAGCCCTTACCAAGTTGTGGTGTATTCTACCTGTGTCCCCCCCACAAAGAGTAAGTTCCATGAAGCCAGACTAGTTTCTCATTCACCTTCCATCCCAAGTGCCAACCCCAGTGCCTGACAAATATTTAGTAAGCAGTCTTTCAGAATTCCATGAAATTAAATGGTGAAGTCCTGGAAAGAAATGAAGGAACCACAGAATTTCAGACAAGGGTTGGACTTCATGATTCACATTCCTTCTTTATCTCTCACAGTGCCTAGGTGAGCATTTAGCAGATATAAATGTTCAATACATATTTATTGATCAATGGATGCTTAAACTTTTTCAGAAAATTAATGAACTGTATAAATTATGGAGGATAGCCAACCTATCTCATTTCCCCTTAACCATCCCAGTTTTAAAACAAAAAGTACTGTGTCTGGGAATTATTGTCAGTCCTGGTAAACCGGGTCAGCTTAGTTAGAGGTTTTCTGTGTATAACAAAATAAATGCTAATGTTACTCTCCCTCTTCAGTAAAGTCTTTTAAGGACTACTTTTGCAAACTTAACTTGAGTTTCTGTATATCTGAAAGTGACTTTAAAAAAGGTTTCTTGAATTTTAGTCTAAAATCCAGGCTGTTCAGAATTTTAAAAAATGTGTTGTTATTCTCCCTACGCTAAATGAGTAAGCTTTTGAAAGGTAACCAGGAAATTTCATTTCTCAGAGTAGGGTTTCTCTTTTGGGAGGTTAATGAGACAGCTCATCACAGACTCATTCAAGTCTGTGACTTTTTGGCCAAGCATAAATTGGGTGAGCCTTGTCCTTCCAGTCGAGGCCATGCCCCACTAGGCTGGCAGGCCCCTTCCACTGGGGGTAGGGGATGCTGTTGTGAGTCACTAAGTCCCTCTTGTGTAAGACCAGGCTCCTTGGATCCTCTCAGAAATCTTTTTATTAAATCTAAGAATTTTCATATTCTCCACACTGTTCCGCTTTTATTCCATCCTACATCTATTGTTATTGAGGGAATATTTACTTGCTATTGAAGGAAGTCATGTGGGATGTATAGTCAATAATTTCATCAAGGAATAACTTATCTTTGTGCTTTTGGTGGAAAAGGGAGGGAAATAGTTCCACTCAAGTAGCTTATGAGCTTCTTTTGAAGAATATTTACAAAGAGACAAAGAGATAATTATTTTCCCATTTTAGTAGAAAAGCAGCATAAACAAAGCCTGAAACATAACAAAACAGTAGAGACATATCCAGAGAATGTGATGGTCATTGATTTTTGCATTAGTTGCTTAACAGATATCATCCAGAGCACATGTGCTTGTTTCTAGTAAAAGGCTAAAATGAGAATTATTCTGGATGTAACTTATACGATTAGAGATTTGTTGGCTCTCTAAGGAGAGGGAGAAGGTAAAACAAATACAAAAATAAACACCCTTTTTATTTTGTCAAAGGTGACAAAACCTCTAACAAAAACAAACTTTTGCCAAAGTAAATTTTGAGCTTTGGCACACTTGCAATTCACACCATTTACATAATTCTATGGTTTCATTTTTGCTTCTTTTGAGATACCTGTTTTAACTAAGTCTAGATGGCTAAGGGTATGATTCTCTTTTATGCCAGGAAATTGACGTCCAGCTGACAACTAACTCCACTCCCTGACATAACTCTGATCTTAATGGCCATCACTTCTTGCCTAGACAACCATGATAATTTCTTCCCTGCATTCACTCTGCACACCATCCCATCTGTTTTTCACAATACAGACAGAATTGATGTTCAGTTTGCATATATGATCGTGTCAGCCTCCTTCCTTTCCCTACTCTCTGTTTAAATCCTCACTTGGATATGAAGTACTCTGAGGTTGAAGGCCAAGATCACTCATATGGTCCTCAAGACCCTGTGCCCTTTGGCCCCATCTACCTCTCCTTCCATCATGCACACTCTCTTCCTGTCTCTGCACTTTAGTCAGGCCTTCATCTAGTTCCTCACACCTGCCATGCTTCCTCCCACCACAGGGCTTTTGCACATGGCTGGTGCTTTCACCAGGAACTTTTTGTCTCTCCTGTTCTCCACTTGGTTAAATCCTTTTATTCCTTCAGAGTGCAGCTCAACACACATCCTCAGGAAAGCTTCTTCCCAGTGACCCTTAGGTCAGATTCCTTGGTGATACGTTCTCCTGAGTCCATACTCTTTCCCTCAGGTAAACCTGTGTGAGTATATTAATTATATATTCATTTTTGTGATGATGTAACCTATATCACTAACTATATGACCATGAGGACAGGGACCTTGTTTATGCTGGTATTCATCTCCAGTGCTCAGCAAAGTGATGGGCACATGGAACTGGCTTGGCATTTCTTGAAAGAATTTGTTTCAATGACTGTTCTTTTATATGCTGGGCATGTTAAGTAAAGCAAGTACTAGACTTAGAAACATAAGAGGAAAATTCTAGCTCTGAACCTATTCTTTTGACTTGCTAGCAGATATAATTTATTTGCCTTGGTTTCTATATCTTTAACACAAGAATAAAAATACCTGCTGCCAACAGGCTCATCACAGTGAATGGACCTTTCTCCAGGGAGTCAGAACCTCTGCACATTGTATTTCTCAAACTTTAGATCCTGGCTGGGCTGCTGTAATAGAGAAACCTAAAACCACAGTGTTTAAACCAGATAGAAGTTTATTTCTCTCTCACAGAAAAATCCAGGGCTGGTACATTGGTTCAATGGTGTCAGCAACCCAGGCTCCTTGTATCTTCTTGCTCTGCCATCTTTAACACACGACTTCCATCTTGAGGTACAAAATGGATGCTACAGCTTTCTCCGCATCACTAGCTACAGGAAAGTGAGAAAGTGAGAGGGAAGGGCTTGCTACTCCCCTGTAAGGACATGAACTCGCATATACCACTTCCAATTTCACTCTGTTGGCAAGAGCTGAGTAATATAGCCACACCTAATGCAAGGTACACTGTAGTGTGATATTTTATTTACCATTGTATTTTTCCCATTAGACTGTGGGTTTATTGAGACCAAGAATATTATCTTGCCCTTCTTTTGTCCCCTCCCCTTAGTAGTTAAGAGCCTGCCACCTAGTCTTCCCTCAGAATAAGTCAATCATGTGGGTCCAGAATGACTGAACGTTGGTATGTCAGATGCTTATCAAATACCAGTGTTTTTACATACTCCTAGAAAGAGTGCATTAAGTCTTTCTGACTGCTCTATTTGTCACCTTATATAATTCATCATGAAAATGAATCAGGAGTATTTAAACTTGGGTGTACACCTGGGCTCCAGGAAATGTATTTTTCCTCAGAAAGGGAATGTGAGATTTTCAAACTGGTTTGTGACCTGAGCATGTTTAAGAACACTGATATTAATGTGGGATTTAAGAGGTTCCAATAAATCTGCTGGGATTCAGAACCAATTTAGAAATAAGGCAAAAGAAATAAGGCAGGTGGAGGCCAAATTTCCCCCTACATTACTACAAAAGCTAATTTCTTGCCAATGGGTTTCAGCCCCAAGCAAGTTCACTATGGATTCAATGTGACCAAAGAAATGACAGTAGAACATTCTTGGGGTAAAAGGGTTATACCCAACCTTCTTTTTGTTTTAAATAAATTTCTTATTAAGGTATGATTGATATACACTCTTATGAAGGCTTCACATGAAAAAGCAATGTGGGTACTACATTTACTCATATTATCAAGTACCCACCCATACCCCAATGCAGTCACTGTCCATCAGTGCAGCAAGATGCCACAGATCCACTCTGTGCCTTCTCTCTGCTACACTGTTCTCCCCGTGATCCCCCACACCATGTATACTAAACATAATACCCCTCAGTTCCCTTATCCCTCCCTCCCCACCCACCCTCCCACACCCCTCCCCTTTGGTAACCACTAGTTCATTCTTGGAGTCTCTGAGTCTGCTGCTATTTTGTTCCTTCAGTTTTGCTTCATTGTTATACTCCACAAATGAGGGAAATCATTTGGCA